AACAGAACACCCATAATCACCCTACCCACCTATAATAAAACCTCAACTTGAATGACCAAACACACACCAAACCAAAAACACAAGCAATTTTTGCCAATGATTAACATTAATAGAGTAGATGAGATTTTCAGATGGGAGTGGGGGAAGAAGCAGAATAAAGTTTGGGCTTTTTCTCTCTTGTTTCCTGCGTATAGAGTGCTGATTTTTAGACTGAAAAACAGGGCAACTTTGAGTTAGTTTAGATGCATCTGACCAAGGGCAGAGGCATCTTTTTACAATTCAGCAAATTGCACTCAAGTCCCTTTGGGACTTCAGAATCATTATCAAATTTCCTGAGACCTTTTTGTAGTATTTTGTGTTGCATGGGACCTCAATGTCATTTTCCCAATTTCTTTTTATATCCCATCACGTGTTTAAACAGGATCTTATAAATAGTATCAAACTAAACTATGAGGGAGTTTGGCAACTCTTATAATTACTTTAAAAAAATATTTTTATATAAATTGAGATGCTTAAATTATTTTCAAGAAGCTACTCGAAACACCTTCTTGATTCAAATTTTGGAATCTGATCAAAAGAATTTTCTTTTTTTGCTAACTTATAAAAAGGATAGAATGGAGCGCACATATAAATTTTCAAGGTGAAATAGTACCACCTTTGGTCCTTAATATAAATGAGTTAAAATACATTCTCCCATACTAAAAAATGCAATGCATTAAGTTGATAAAATTTTTCAATTTTTTCTATTAACATTTTCTCTTTTTATATTTACGAATCATTATTATATCTTTTCCTTCTTACTTTCTTTCTAATAAAAATTAAATACTAATAAAATTAAAAAAAGAAATATTAAATATGATGTAAGTGACTTATATTTAGAATAAAACTCTCTGAAAAAGGATTTATATTTAGTTGAATCATGGGATCTTTGCGAGGTGAATATGATTTCTTTTCATAGTTGCCAAGTGAAATAAATGGACTCGAATAACATTAAAGGATTATGGATGCCGGTGATTATTGTCCCCATACACCACCCCGGTCTACAATATAAGCCTAGATTTAAATACACATATAAAACAAAAAATAAAAGATTAAAGTGCATCTAACATCTTAAAATATTTTTACGAGTATATTTAGTATCCTAAAATATTTTATGATGTATATAATATCCTGAGATAATTTTTTCTAAGTATATTTAGCATCTTGAAATATTTTTTTAGTGCATCATACACCATAAAGTATTTTTTGTGCATTTAGCAACCAAAAATATTTTTTGATGTATCTGACAAAAAAAATATTTCAGCATGCTAGACACCCCTAAAAAATAGTTCGAGGTATTGTATGTATTAAAAAAATATTTTAAGATGCTAAATGCACTTTAACCCAAAAATAAAAAAATAAAAAACAGTTGACTGGTAGATACTCCCTCAACTCCTTAATATAAGTTATCAGACTAATTAATTATTAAAAACTACTCAATTTTAAGTATAATTAATGTATGTTTTTAATTGTTCCCCCCATTCAAAAGAAAAAAAAAGTGAGTAGTTGAAATTATTATAATAATAAATGACAACCATTGCCAATATTGTAAAAAAAAATATTTAGAATAAAGTTGTATGGCTACGATTAAAAATACACTAAAAATCACACCGGTTAATAAATTGATTGAAACAGTGATATGAGGATTAGCAGATCAGATTGCGGTCAACCTAAAGTTAAACTAGTAATAATTGAAACAAAAAATTTGATAAAAAAATTACTGTATGTACTACCTCCTATCTTTAATATAAAACTTTGTTTGATTTTTATTTTGGTCCTAACTATAAGACCCCAATCTATTTTGTCTCTCATATTTATGTATTTTTTTAAGGATAATTCTTCTAGCAATGATAGTTCTAGCCAATACATTTGATTAGCAAGGATATTTTAGAAAAGACAACACCTATTTATTATAAATAACTAACTTAACTTGTTTCCTTAATATCTTTAAATTAGTGAACTAGCTCTTATAATTAAAATCAGAGGTAGTATATAATAACAAGTAAAAATAAAAATATAATAAGTCTAAGTATTAATATAATAACACTACAATGAATAAAGTTTTGAATGAAACAACACAATGTTGATACAAAATTTGTCAATTTTATATTAACTAATTTAGACCAAAAAAAAAACTTCAACCCATCAATATGTAGTTTTATGGTTATAAAATCATAAATAACGATTTCATGATTCAAATACAAAAATAAACTAAAATAAAAAATAAAATTATAATAAAGTGTGAAAGAGGAGTGCAGTCTGAATTCATTCATTCATTGACTTGATTAGTAAAAAACAAAGCATTAGTTGAAAATTGTACCGTATGTCGGTATACCTTGGTCATTTATAGCTCTCTTCTTTCTTCTTTCTTCATTCTTGTGTTTAGCATTGGATTTTCAATTTTTCCAGTAGTGGGGAGTTGGGAGGACTGAAAGCTTGAGCAAGTCATCGTCTTCTTTCTTGGTTCCGGTAAGACCTTTTCTCGCTTCTTGGTTTTCAAGTTTCTTCTTCTAGTTACTCCTTTTTTTCTCTTCCCATCTCTGATTCATTTCTTCTCCCCTTTTTTTCCCCCTGTTTATACTTTAATTTTTTTCATCTTGGATCTTCTTCTTCCCCCTATCTTCTCTCTTTCTCTCCATTCTTTTTTATTGCTCTATTTTTTCTTCATCTTTATTGTCATAAGATTCATAGAGGACGACACAGACTAATTTGGACGACCACTTTTTTCTTCCTTTCAATTCCCCCCCCCCCCAACAACAAAGAGTCCGTTGAGATCTAAGAATTTTAACTCGGGTAGTCCATCAACTCCGCTGGTTAAACGAGTTATCTCCGGTTAGTGCATAAAACAATGAAAAAAAAACAATGAAACATTTTAGTACAAACAGGGTCAGTAGGGCTAGTGCTGTGGCGAACTAATAAAAAGAAATACCCCACGTTTCTGTGCATAAAAAAAAAAGGGGAAAATTTCATTTAAGGGAGAATTTATTTCAAACAGCTCCCAAAACATTCTGAAATGTCATTATAGAACCAAACTGAAATTAAAATTAAAAGTAAAATTATAATAACACCCCTCATTTTTATTTTTTTAAAAAATAAATATTAATGGTTGTCGGAGTTCTGGCCACTAGTACTCAGGTGGCCGCTATTGTAACTCCGGTGGCTGAAAGATTTTTTTAAAAAATAAGATGGTCAAGGGAAAGTTTGAATCCATGACCCTTGATACACCAAAAGTGATGTGACTACCAAACCAAACAAATTATTTAATCATGTGATGCAAATAAAAATATATATAACAAAACAAACGCAAGTGTCTAAGTGTAAGTGAACAAGTAAAATTTAACAATTTACAAATAAAATTCAGCAATTTACAACAAAAATTTAACAATTTACAAATAATATAATGAAATTCACAACCCCAAATAGAAGTATTTAAATGTAAATGAGTAAATAAAATTTGAGGACTTATAATAAAAATTTATGGATTTACAATCCAAATTTGACTATTAGTAACAAACATAAGAGAATTCACAACTCAAAATATAAGTGTTAAGTGTAAATGAACAAATGAAATTTAAAAATTTACAACAAAGCTTGTTATTTGCTTACACTTGGATACTTGTATTTGTTTTATTATATATATTTTTATTTGCATCATATGATTAAATGGTTTGTTTGGTTTGGTGGTCATATTACTTTTGATGTGCCAAGTAGTCATAGGTTCAAACCTTCTCTTAGTCACTTTATTTTTGTTAAAAAAAATCTTCCAATTATTGGAGCTACAGTAACGGCCACCGAAATTCTAACCTCCAGTGGCTGTCACCTGAGTATCGGCGGCAGGACTTCTGACCTCCGATGACCGGAATTCTAGTGACCATTAATATTTATTTTTTTATAAAATAAAAATGAGAGGTATTATTGTAATCTTACTCTTAATTTTAATTTCAGTTTGGTTCTTTAGTCTTGCAGTAACATTTCAAAATGTTTTGGGACTATTTGAAATAAATTCTCAATTGCGATCCTTAAATGAAATTTTCCCTAAAAAAATTCCTCTCTCTGTTTTTTTTTTTTTGCTCTTTTGACCACGGAATGGTGTTGAGTTTCAAGTTTTGACACACACACATATATTACATTGTATATTCTTAGGGTTGGTATGTTGTTAGCCACTCTTCTTCCTTTTATTTTTTATTTAAACATCTTTAAAATTAAAAATAAAAAAATTCCAGTTAGTTTTTAAAATTAACACACAAATATATAAATACAATATGTATTTTAAAATTATCTTTAGAATAAAACTAAGCCTCCTACAATTAATTGAAGGTTACTTTACACGCGCGCACACACATATAAGTCCTCACATGTTCCCGGCATGGCAGGGAAATGATTGATTGTTTATTAAGTTACAACGTACGAAAAGAATTTCATATATATGTTCTTCTTCTTTTTTTAAAATCAATGATTATATTGTTTATACTACTTCCCATCCTTAATATAAAAGTTCATTTGATTTTTATTTTGTTCTTAAATATAAGACCTTAATCTACTTTGTCTATCATATTTATCTTTTTTTTCTCAAAATAATCCTTTAATAATGGTATTTTTAGCTAATATACTTGATTAGCAAAGATATTTTAGAAAAGACAATACAATGCCTATTTATTACAAATAACTAACTTAACTAAATTTTTTAATACATTTAAATTAGTTAATTAGTTTTTATATTAAGTATAGGAGGTAGTAATATTTTTGGTTTCATCTTAATCATTAAAATGCAACGGAATGGTGATTATTACATAGTTCCGCGCAAAAGCAACTTCCAACTGAGACGGCTTGGTACGAAGGCGCCAGGAAAACAAACAAGAAAGTTAGAATAACGTTTGTGTTTTAATTATGAAAACGTTGCTATAATTTGAAATACACTTGAAATCTCAACACGGTGTCTCTGTTTGCAGATTGAGTGAGTTATGGCTGAGGCATGTGTTTACAACGACAGGGTTATAGAGCCACTTACGGAGGAGAACTCTGGAGAGTGGTTTAATTTGGTTAAAAACTATCTCATAGTTCACCATCTTTGGAGAGTGATGATTGACGGTACAACTCCTCATCAAGATGATCCCTCTTGGAGACAAAAGAATGAAGAAGCATTGCGCATCTTGCGCATCTCATGCTCGCCCCAGACTCGCCATCTCATAGAAGGAGTCGCTGAAGCCAATGCTGCCTGGCGCATTCTTCGTCACAACTTCGCCCACAAACCATCTGGTAACCTTAATTATTTATATAAGGGTTAATGTTCAAATTTATTTTGAAAGTTTTCAAGGCACTGGGTACTCAGTAAGTTTTTTCGGATGTAAATTTGTCCAGAAGTTTAAAATGTAACAATAATGCTGTTACTGTTAAAAATGTTAACAGTCCACATTAGTTTTTTGACGCGAGGAGGCAATATTGTTACAATTTTAAACTACAAATAAATTTGCACCAAAGAAGAAAAAGTTCGGGTACCCAACACGACTTCTAGGGCAGATTAACAATTTAACCCTTACATATATACACACAACTCTTTCCCGGTTGTGTAATTAGAAAACAACTCAATTCGTTTCTTAGCTAATGTTTGTTACTTTTTTCGGTAGTAATTACACGTGATATAATGTTATTCAGTCTTCATTAGGGGGGAAAAAAAACTCAATTAGGACATACTGATATGAAAAACTTAATTACTACTCGTGCTGATATGTACATACGTGAATTGTTGGTTAGTTACTGTGAACGCAGCGGGAGCAGGTTCACTTGATGTGGGCATTTTGTACAATGCTATATGTGCTAACAACTGGGAGGCAGCAGAAGAATTCCTTGACCGACATCCAAGTGCCTTGACTGCGAAAGTTACAGCCGCAAATGGAACACCTCTCCATGTGGCTGCACTTTTTGGACATGTAGAACTAGTGGAGGAGTTGGTGAGATTAGCTGACCCAGAGTTCCTGGAAATAGTCGACGATTATGGCTCTACTCCACTTGCAATTGCTGCATCCACTGGGGTCGTGGAAATCGCAAAATGCATGCTTAATAAGAATAGAAACATACTAGACACTCCGGACTTGAGATATCATCTTCCTGTTGCATTGGCCATTGGTGCTGGTCAGAAAGAAATGGGACGTTTTCTCTATGAGGAAACCCCATTGGAAGTACTGAAACCCCAAAATGGCTATCTAGGTTCTCGACTTCTTCGTGCATGTTTCGAAGCCGGTGAACTTGGTAATCGAACCTGCCTCCCCAGCCCTTAATGGGAACATATATTATTTCTCTATATAATTTTGTTGGCTAGTTTTTTCTTCTCTTTATTTCACATCTTGCCATAATTATATATAATAATTACAGATATTGCTCTGCGTCTACTTGAACAATGCGAAGATATCATTTTTGCTGCAGACCACACCAATTGGACACCAGTTGCCGGTATAGCAATCATGCCTTCTGCAGTTGAGAGTGGAAGTCATCAACTTGGATTCTGGAAAAGATGGATTTATCATTGTGAGTAGTCTCTCACTACTTTCAAATATCTTTCTTTTCAGAATCTATATATATACTTACTACGCTTGTTTAATTCTGCATGCCTCTAATAATCTCTTATTATAACATCCTCTCCTATTTAAATGTGAAGACTGTTAAACCAAGTCATTTTCTGTTTTACCTTGAATGAGACGCTCAATTTTCTCTGTTTCTCTTGTCTCTCTTTTTGGTGGAAGCCATACCTATACCATCGACCACAACAACCGACAATGTTCGTGTAGACATTCAACAAGAAGGCAACGATGAAAGCATTCAAGGTGTAATACACAAGCACATACACACTCGTGTGTGTGTGAAAAAAAACCCAAGCTAATTCTAAATTCTCTCAAATGATTTAAAAATGAAAGTAAAATATGATTACATAGTTTAGTTAAGATATCTCCAAACCTCAACTAATACTTCTGGTCCTAAATGTAAGAGTTAGTTAGGAGTTAAATTTGGTCCTAACTTCAATCCATTTTGTCTCTTAAATTTATGGTGTTTTCTCCAAAATATCTCCATTGATTGCAATAGATTTTTACCAAGGGGTAGTTTCAACATACATGATTAAATATAATAATTTAGAAAAGTCAACATATATTTATTATAAATAATTTAGTTAATTTCTTAATCTCTCCAAATTAGATTATCTAGTTTTTATATTAAGAACTAAAGATGGTATTATACTGAGTGTTAAATGTTCACACTTAAGTGGCATCTTTGGCTTATGTCCAAATTCCTATTCATCACTACGTTGTTTTAACACTTTGCTTGCAACAGGGCATGGTCTACTGCACTGGTTCATCTGTAACGCCTATAATCGGTTAGGTATATCATATCATATGCTAAGAATTTCATACCTTGTATGTTTTCAAATAAATCTCATAAACACAAGCTAGAGATACATAGTTATAAGTGATGAGTTGGGAATCCATATATATATATAGGAGTGAAGGAAATATATGAGCTAAAGCTGCTGCATGAACGAGCATCTCAAATTCTAAAACTACTTTGTCAGAGGGCACCTCTTTTGGATAAGCAACAACATGACATGGTCATTAATACATTGTACCGTGCGGCTAAAGAAGGGCTTGTTGATTTTTTGTCTGAAGTATCAAAAACAAACCCACAGCTGATCCAGTTTACTTCAAGATTAGGAAATTGGAACACTTTCTTCTGTGCTATTCAACATCGTCAGGCTGAGGTCTTCAGCCTAATCCACAAGTATCGCTTCAAGAATTTAATAGCATCAGTGGTAGATACCTCCGGACATTGCATGCTGCATGTTGCAGCCAAGCTGGTTCCTTCTAACCAACTTAACCGCGTCTCTGGTGCAGCTCTACAGATGCAAAGAGAAATGCAATGGTTCAAGGTTAGAAATATATATATAAGGTTAAAGTGCAAATATGTCTTGGAATTTTTTACTTACCAAGAGCGTTGGGCACTTCAAAAGTTTTATTGGGTGCAAATTTACTCCAAAAATTTAAAATCATAGCAATGTTATCCCTTGCCATTAAAATAGCGACATTGACAATAAACATTTTTAATAACAAAGGATAATATTGCTATGATTTTAAACTTTCGAGACAAAATTACACCCAAACTTTAGGATGCTTAATGTTCGTTAGTGAGAACTTTTCTTGCATATATAATTATTTTATTTATTTTTATGAAATAAATGCATGTAGGAAGTTGAAAGGGTGGTACCTCCTGGACTTAGGGCATCTCGAAATAGTGCGGGTAAACGACCAGAAGACATATTCAAAGAAACTCACAGAGATCTAAGGGATGCAGGAGAAAAATGGATGAAGGATACAGCATCTTCCTGTTCTGTTGTTGGTGCTTTGATCGTTACCATCATGTTTGCAACAGCTTTTACTGTTCCAGGAGGGAATGATCAAAACACTGGCTACCCAATATTTTTGAAAGACAACTTATTTATACTCTTTATCATCTCAGATGCATTGTCATTGTTTTCTTCAACAACTTCAGTACTGACATTTTTAGGGGTTTTCACCTCGCGCTATGCTGAAGGAGACTTCCTCATATCCTTACCAAAAAAGCTAGTCATAGGTCTTTCTACGCTTTTCTTGTCCATTTTAACCATGATGGTGGCATTTTGCTTATGCATTATTCTCATGCTAAAGCATACATACTCATGGTCTTATCTTCCTGTTATGATCATTGCTAGTATCCCGGTCACCCTCTTTGTATTGTCACAATTCCCTCTTCTTCGCAATGTGATTTGTTCTACTTATGGCCCAGGCATCTTCAACAGAAATGTAAAATAAACCCTTGGCCATGAAATGTATGTGCATACGGTTAATTTGCCACTATCTTTGTATTTCTATTGAATAATATATGTTTCTTGCAAGTCATACACACACATGCACATTCAAATGTTGATCGATCTAAAGGAAGAGGAGGGAAATAGGATAAAAAAAGAAGATGAGAGTTAGAATCCTCTCAAGAGGTTTCATAGGTGCATCTAATTTGAGGTTGGTATGGTTAATGTGATTGAAAAATTATATACTACCTTTAGTTCTCAATATAATAACCAGGTAACTAATTTAGAGAGATTATCCCTATGTTTGGTATGAGGGGAGGGGAGGGGAGGGGAGGGGAAAGAAAATTTTGATGAGTTTGATTTAAAAAATTGAGAAAGCGGGGTTATGAAATTTTAATGGAGAGAATATATGAGATAAAAAGTATAAAAAAATTAATGAAAAGTTTTTAACCCTACTTTTTCAATTTTTTAAATTGCGTTTATTAAAATTTTTTCTCCCCTCCCTGCCTCTCTATTTCCCTCATACCCACAGACCCGCATATGTATTTCTTTGCTTGTGAATTGAAAAGATTATTAATAAATATTATAGAAATTTTTTTCAAAAATACCTCTAAAATTTCAAAATCCCAAATGAGGAATGACTATAAAAATATGTTGTTATTTGCTTATCAAATGTTGTCAATTATTATTAAAGTGTAATAAACAAGACTGATTTGAAATTTTGAAATTTAAATGTATTTTTCTTTGGGATTCTCCCAATATTATATTAATGACAATTATTTTAGTATAAAAATTATATTTTGGGGAGCTAAATAACAACTTGTGAGTTGTGATTTGAGGAAATGTTTTTGAAGATTTTAAAATAAATGGAAAGTATCTTGCATGCTATTATAAAATCACATATATTGTCATTGTTATAGATAAGATATATAAACTATTGTACATATATGATTTATGATTTGATTGTATTCTTCTCATATATGCATACACACATATTTATAAATGAGCCCTAATTCAGTGTTGACTCATTCACCAAACCTAGAAAGATAACACTATTCATAATCTGATCTAAATAATCTAAAGTTAAAATTTAAAATTGTAATTTTTCAATAATAGATTTATTCTCTTTAAAGTAAAGTTTTAAAATTATCTTTATTTTAAATTTTATATCTATTAAAATAAAAAATCATTTAAGATATAATAAAATTTCAAAATTGAATCTAAACTATTCAAAACCAATTTAAATAATTTAGATTAAGATGAGCACATTCTATATGATAATCTTTTTTTTATCAGCAAGGAACAATACCCTTCCAAACCTAACAAGCTCTCTCTCCTCTTTCCCCCTCCACTACCAACGAAACAAAACTCCATTTTTGTTACATATTTTCTCAACACTTTCTCGTTTTTTCTTACTATTCTTCTTGCATTTCTCTTCTTTCTTTTATCCTTTCTCCTTTCTTTTGCTGTTTACTTGGACGCTTTCTTCTAATAATAAACAAGGGAGAATTACAATGAGATCCCAAACAAGAAAAACAATTAAAAAACAAGTCCCAGAGGTTGTCATTCTCACCATAGGACTTGTTATTATAGGCTGTTGAGGTTGTTATTGGGACCTTTTGGTAATTATTTCTCTTCTGTGGGACTTGGTTGTAATTCCCCCAATAAACAATTCGATGGACAGAAGAACCATTCCTAGAAAGAGGAAGCAATTTGTGATTCTCGATTATCCACCTAGGTATGGGCAATTCACAGAAAAACCTAGAAAAGATATAACTGCGAAGAAGCTTCAACAACAACAATCTGATAATACATCTCATTTTGAGATCACTACTTGTGATGACAAAAACTTGATGGGTCGAGAAACTATTGTCTCACCCATTAGGTTATGACTATTCTCATAAGTTTATGATGACTAGAAGAAGGGTTTTAGCCATTAGAGACTATCCTTCTTTATGTGGACCTAATAAGTTTCAGAGTCTAACAACACCTAAAGAAGATGATACTTTTTGATGAGAGGAGTTGTTAGGCTAAACTTCAACAATCTGATGATGAAAATATTGTCACAGAAGACTTTCAAGAGTTTTAGTCATTAGAGATGATCCTCCTTCTTTGTGTGGACCTAATGTTAAATGTGTTATATCATTGTAATTCTTTCTTTTTGTTTTTTGGGAAATCAAATGGCAAGTTATAAGATCATTGTAATTCAAAGTTGTTGTGGGATTTGTAAGTTTGGGGAATTCTAGGTGGTAATTATCATTTAGGTACAGTCATGATTGGATATTGTTATATTTTCTTAGTATTAGGTCCTTTTTTTTGGCCATTCCAGCACAACCTGCAAGTTATAGCATGTTAAATTTGATGATTCTAGTTTAGGCTTCAATACATTAAATGAAGGAAAAATTACACACAGGTCCTATGAAAGAGAACTGATTTAGATAAAGTCCTTGAAAATCCTCAAATGCTTCCTAAGTCCCCAGAGACCTCAGAGCAAAATATTAGAATTGTGAAAAGTCTGTTTTGCCCTTATTGATTGAAAAGGCAAAAAAACAGGGAAAGCTTCAGTTTCGCACTGGTGTTGCATGCATGAGGAAGAGAAGCTTCTGAAAGAAGGAACGGAGGTCTACGCTGGTCCTCTATTATTCCAAGCAAGCTATGTTTTTTCTTCATCTTCTTTGTAGGTATCATCAGTAACAACATTCCTCTTCTTTCGTACACAACCAGTCTCAAGTTTAATGTTGGTTTGAAAAGTTGATTGGTTGTGGGTGTGTGGATATTAAAGATGTGATTCAACTCACTTGAACTATCAAGGGAGGTTCATTTAAGTCATATGTGATTTTAATAATCTTAGGTGTGGTTTGTTATGTGTGGCTAGGGTTATAAAGTAATGCTCTGTTTTTTGGTGAATGATGCTTTGTTTTTCAGTGATTGATGCTGTGTTGCTGATGAAAATGAATGAAAATGAAATATTTTTTTGTTATAACCCCTGTAACGCGATGGTTAAATTTCTTATTAATAGGTACATCGAAGGTTGTTAATATAACTATATGACTTGTTATTAACGAGTGATTGTGACAGGTTGATATGAAGGATAGCAACTTCGAGTGGGAAGCATTTGTTTTGTTACCTCCATATAGGGGGACAATTTATTAATGATGTAGAAGGTGAAATGCAATATGTTGGAGGTGGTGTGAGAACAAGAATAATAAAGGAAGGCACATCATATAAAAAATTTAGAACAATGGTAGCATCAATTGTGGGAAAAGAAAGTAATGGAATGGTTATCAAATTCACAGTAACCTTTGATGAATGTACATTTGTGGACCTTGTAGATGATGGAGTGGGACATTTAATTAATTTCAATGGTGACAATGGTCATGTATATATAGGAAAAAATGGAGATCAAAATTCACAACTAACAAGGGATATTACAATAGAAGAGCAACATGTGTAAGTTGTATTATTTAAATTTTGAAGTAATATTGGCTATTATCAATTGTTGTGCATAAGTTGTTATTGCAGTGATCGAAGATTGTCATTAATGACCCTATGGCCTGTTGTGTTATGTAGGATGGAAGACTTGTTTGGAGGTTTAGATGCATTGTCCATGTCTCCACCCAATATGTGTAGTGAAGACCTACTATCATTGCCATGTGGTTCACAAATGATGCCAACCCCAATTCTAGAAACGAATTCAACAAAGTGGAAAGGTTTGGTTATTGGAGAAGGATAAATTTTTCCTAATGCAGTGGCCCTTAGACAAGCACTATATAGGTACAGCATTGCTAAGAAGTTTTCATACAAATTTGAAAGAACAGTCAACAAAAGATCATTGTGAAATGTATGGCGGAGGGATGCCCGTGGTACATAGGTGCATACTTAATGGGACAAAGACAAGATTCTAAGTTCTTAACAATAAGAACATTAAGTAAGCATGTGCATTATGCGCAGGACAGCTTGGTTGTATCTTACTCTGGAAGGTCAAGCTTAACATCATCAATCATGATAGATTCTTTGAGATGTAATATAGAAATGAATGTTAATAAAATTAAAAGAGATTTGTACAGAGAATATGGGGTGCGACTAAATTATAGTCAAGCATACAGGGGTAGAGAAAGAGCATTGAGGGAAATACATGGTTGGGCAAAAGGATTCATACATGGTGATTTCCTGGATTTGTGAAAGGCTTATTGAAACTGATCCAAACACAATTTCTCGATGGGAAGGGTTGGATGGTCATAGATTTAAGAGGATGTTTATTGTTTATGGATGCTCAATTAATGGATTTTTAGAAGGTTGTCGAAATATACTTTATATAGATGGATGTCATCTAAGTGATCCTTATAGGGGGACATTGATTTCAGCTAATGCATATAATGTGGACAATAAACTATTTTCATTAGCATATGCTATAGTTAGTGGCGAGACATATGATGATTAGGCTTGGTTTCTCCAGAATGTCAAAGACATCACAAGATCAGTGGAGACAATGATAGTTTCAAATCAGAATAATGCCATTATAGGTGCTGTGCGGACAGTATTTAGTGGCGAGAGACATGCTTTTTGCTACAGGCATGTAAAGAAAATTTTAGTACACATTATTTAAAAATTAACCAAGACAGGAGACAAGTTTCAGGTAGTTCAAAGGAGGTCGCACTGAAAATATTGGATGGAATTACCTACGCAAGGATTGAGAATGAATATGTTGCTGCAATAGGAAAACTTAGATCATTTTGTCCACAATTAGCTGATTGGGTTGAGACTCAAGAAGATGTAGATCGATGGGTTTTAAGCAAATTTCTATTTAAATGATGGGATAATATCACCACTAATGTTGCGGAGTCATTTAATGCCTGGATTTTGAAGGAGATGAAGCACAATATATCAATTCTCATACATAAGCATATAGAGAAATTAGTGAAGAAGATGGTTGCAAGCAAAATAGCAATGAGAAATTAGACAAATGGCGTTTGGCCAAATATTAAGTCCAAGTTGCAAGAATGAGTAGCAAGAGTGGAGAATATGCATAGTGTATATTATGAAGATAATCGATTT